GAATAAGAAAGTCACTGTTCCTCTTGTATATGGTATATAAAAAACTATCAGCTCATTGCTTTGCAATTAAAATGTAATTACCAAGGTATTATGCAACAACATGCTACTACACTTTTCTCCTAAAATAATTCCAGTTTTATTACACAGGCACAAGAACAGTTTCATTTTAAGTGTTACTGAGAATATTAACAGGAACAAAATATGGCTATTAAGTGTTGAAAGGAAACTAAATATCCCAAAACTGCCTTCTTGAATGAACTACAGGCCAACGTAGGTGGAAAATTGTTACTTTCTATTCTGAGTAAACTATCCCTTTAAAGACAGTATAGTGTGTGTTTGAAACAAGAACACTTACCCTCAGAAGGACAATATGTTCAAAGTTGTTTTTTCTAAGTATCCAACATGCTGTTTGTAATATTTGAGGTATCATAAAATGTATTGCAACTGTTTGCTGAGGAGTATTTCTGTCTGTAATAAAGCCCTTTTGTGGGAAAATAACGTATTCTGATTGGCTGGGCCTGGCACCCCAGTGGGTGGGCCTATGCCCTCCCAGGCACACCCATGGCTGCGCCCCAGCCCAGTCATGTAAAATCCATAGATTAGGCCCTAATGAATTTATTTCAATTGACTGATTTCCTTCTATGACCTGTAACTCAGTAAAATCTTAGAAATTGTTGCATGTTGAGTTTATATTTTTGTTCAGTATACTTATCTGTACAAAATATAATTTGTTAATTAGTTTGACTTAATTATGTACACCTGGGGCAATGGACATTAAGGAGAATTTACAACATGTTCAGATAGATTGTGTATTGTGTAGCTCAAACATGATTGTCAGATAGATTGGAAAAGTATAGGAGATTGTGTGTGCTCTATTAATTATAGTTCTATCTTCAAACTGACGTTCCAGATACAGCCCTGCCATTAGTTGAAGGAAGCCAATCCAATAGTTTTCAGAGAAGTAGTCACTTCCTGAGATCTGTATTCAAATATGTTTTTTAAGTAGTAATTTTTGGGGATCGATAGTTAAATATTTGTTGTCACCGCCAAAGTAACTATTTGTTCCCCTGCTTCCCAGCAGCCATGAATAGGCCTACGAGCCCTCCTGTTAACAATTGCCCATTTTTAAGACAGAATAAAACACAGGAATGTGTTAATTGCTTGTGAGAATGAGAGATGAAAGCTGATAAAGCTGTTTCATACAACCCATTTTCTGTCTTTGGATGCATCCCAAATTGCACCCTGTCCCCTATAGAGTGCTCTACTTTGGTCCCCTATACACTACTTTTTGACCTGGGCCAGGGCCTATTTGGGATGAATACTCTGTTTTTGTCTTCTGTCTTTGTAGGTGGATGCCCTCCTGGTATTGTGCACTCTTCTCCTCTTTGTTCCCCCTGCATGTTGTCTATTCCATCACCAGTATTGAGCAAAGGTCAATGTGTTTGCTCTCTGCCTCTCAGCGTCTGTCTGAAGTTACTGAAGTTAAGTACTTATTCAACCTGGCCTTTCGCTGCCGCATGTCCTAAATGCCAACACATACAGGCAGCGTGTGTCTTGCCCCTGAACAGACCAGACAGTATGAGTGGAACCAATAGGCAGTTATATAAACAATAAAGTAGGATATTTAATATAAATGACTACCAACTCATTCACCTCAGTATACAACATCTAAACATGTACATGTGTATGTAGTATGTACTAGATTATCTTTCATTTAGTTTGGTGCAGGTGTGAGGTGTACGTAGTATGGGTATTGTGCAAGTGCACACTTTGGGAGAAGTGTGGAGAATCAGGAGAATCTGGTCCCTAAGTCTATGTGGGATTCCTACCAGTTCTGGAGAGTTTTTGCGTCAGCTTAGTTAGATGACATCTTTGCAAATGTTAAGTGGTCTTTAACCTCGGTGTCTTTGTGTTGGTTACTTAAAAGGCTCTGTGTGTCTCTCTCTGTAAGGTGCACTGCAGCTTGCTGGCCCATTTCTATTCCCAGCTGCGGTATGAGTAGTTTCGGTCCTCTAGCTGTCTTGTGTTGTGTCTTTGGGCCGGCCCTGCTGGAAGCCTGGGCACCTCCTCCAGACTCCTCTCTGCTCCCACCCTGTCCATCTGGCGTCCGGGGCCCTGAGGTGGCGCTTTGGCCTGACTCAGCACTTTCTACTTCCCCTCTGTCACAGACATTAGCACACCTCTCATCCTGTGGTCCGTTCTTTCTCACGGTGGTGTCTCCATTCTACAGTGCCATTTCTCCCTCCTCCTGGCTCCTGCAGAAGCCAAAGAGCTGTTCCACAACCTGTTGTGTTGTTTCATGGAACAGGACACTTTGCTGATCCGATTGCTCAAAATTTTTCTATCTACATTTACATTTGGTCGTTTAGCAGATGCTCTTATCCAGAGCGTGCATTCAACTAAGGTAAGACAACCATATATCACAGTCATTGCAAGTAAAACCTTCCCCCCAAAAAGCAGCTAATTATTGATTGTTGTTACTGCACTTGATAAGTGCCTGTGTAGGGATTGACTCTAAACACTACTGCAGTCATATCCAGAGCTCCAGTTTGAGTGGTTACTTTATTTTGAATCCGATGAGAGACTAATTGTCTTGGAGGACTTTTCTGCACATTTAAACCAGTCTGCTGCATTATTGGAGCTGCTCTGCTTTATCATACAATGATATTCATATCAGGTGTTTGCTACTGGCAAATGGAGAGTGACTGCTTGCTCATATGAGCCCTGAATACCAATGATACCTGAGAATAATTGATCCTTTATTTGTATGTATTGAAAGAAACATGAGGTTGTGTGTGCACAGTACCTGATGTTGGATCATTCTTCCTCATTTTGCTACCAGCTCTGTAATGGATGTTGATGTGTTTAGGTTAGATCTCGTAGTGCAAGGCTGCTATATTCCCACAGATGATATACAGTACATTGTACAGAATGTGTTCATTGATTATGTACACTGAGTTTTCTTGGCTCGGTTGGCTCGGTAGGCTCCCATCCCACGTCATGCCTCAGCTGGCTCGTCAGGCTCCCATGCCTCAGCGTGCTCGGCAGGCTCCCATCCCACGTCATGCCTCAGCCAGCTCGTCAGGCTCTCACGCCTCGGCCGGCCCGTCAGGCTCTCACGCCTCGGCCGGCCCATCAAGCTCGACAGGTTCCGGTTCCTTTTTTTTGGGGGTTGGGGACGTCTGGTCTGGGTGCCGCTGCCGAAGGAACCGGGGATGCCTCAGCTGGCTCGTCAGGCTTCCATGCCTTAGCTGGCTCGAGAGGTTTTCTTGTCTCGTTTGGCTCGGTAGGCTCCCATCCCACGTCATGGCTCAGCCGGCTCGTCAGGCTCCCACGCCTCAGCCGGCCCGTCAGGCTCCCACGCCTCGGCCGGCCCGTCAAGCTCGACAGGTTCCTGTGCCTCGGTCGGCTCGTCCAGCTCCCATGCCTCGGCCAGCCTGTCAGGTTCGCCCTGGTGGGACACCAGGTGACGTCCCTAGAGAGGGGGGGGTACTGTCACGCCTGCTCCTGCTGCCCCTCCCTGGTGCTCGAGGGTGCCAGGCTGCCCATCATTACGCACACCTGCCACCATCATTATCCGCATCTGGTATATCTGTCTGTTCCTCAGTCGTTTCCCCTGTCCAGACGCTGTCCGTGTTTTGTTTCATGTCTGTATTTTTTTTCCTGTACTTACTTCTGGTCTCCCAGCTTCTGTCCTCACAGAGACATGGATTGTGTATGTGTGCCATTCAGAGGGTGAATGGGAAAGACAAAAGGTTTAAGTGCCTTTGAACGGGATATGGTAGTAGGTGTCAGGCGCACGGGTGCAGCTTAATATTAGGAAGGCGTTCCTAATGTTTGGTATATTCAGTGTATGTCATATGTTCTACAATACTATAGGATACTGGACTGCTACCAAACTATGCGCAAGCTTATCATATGCTGTTTTTGTTGACAGGTTTGTTTATCTAATGCCCATTTGTTTCTTTTTAAAAATGAACTTCCCTCCCCTGAACTACAAGGTCACCCATATATTAAAAACACACTTTCCCAAACGTTCCCCTCAAAAGTTTGTTTCTCCTCTCATAGAGTTTACAATATAATGATGGCTACCAAATCAAAATGTATTTGTCACATACACGTGTTTAGCAGATGTTATTGCGGGTGTAGCGAAATGCTTGTGCTTCTAGCTCCGACAGTGCAGTAATATCTAACAAGTAATATCTAACAATTTCACAATATATACCCAATACACACAAATCTAAGTAAGGAATGGAATTTAAGAATATATACATATATGGACAAGCAATGACAGAGCGGCATGGACTAAGATACAGCAGAATATTATAGAATACAGTATATACATATGAGATGAGTAGTGCAAGATATGTAAATTATTAAAGTGACTAGTGTTCAATTTCTTAAAGTGGCCAGTGATTTCAATAGGCAGCAGCAGCCTCTAATGTGCTAGTGATGGCTATTTAACAGTCTGATGGCCTTGAGATAGAAGCTGTACCTGTCCTATTCACAGGGGGTACTTGGGAAGACTCATAAGAATATAGGCCTAATGATCAGTTGCACATGAGGGGGTCATGCAGAGCAAAATGTGGTTGGGGAAAAATAACCAAAAAAAGGTTTAGAACCACTGAGTTATGTAATACGTTATACAGGGTCACTCATAAACAAATACACATGATCACACTATCCTCTTAAAAGTTTGTTCCAATTCTTATAGGGTTTGTGATAACACTTTATTTTGAGATGCCCCCTATGCTCAACTAACTATTAATAGACTATAATTAACAATAAGTTACATAATGTTGGATATTGTGTGTCTGTGCATGTTCCTTCTGTCATAGGGCCGGTTTCCCAGACACAGATTAAGCCTAGCCTTTAGGCTTAATCTCTATCCGGGAAACTGCCCCTTTGTGTCTGTGTGTGTCGGTTCCTCTTCTCATAGAGTTAGTTTATAATATAAAGAGTTACAATATGTGGGATCCCTGTGTGTTTCTCCTGCAGGTGCCGGGGGCTGGGCTCCTGTAGAGTCTAATAAGTACCAATGGTTAGAGGTGGACCTGGGGGAGCGGACAGAGATCACGGCCGTGGCCACGCAGGGTCGCTACGGCAGTTCAGACTGGGTCTCCTCCTTCCTCCTCATGTTCAGCGACACGGGACGAAACTGGAAACAGTACCGCCAGGAGGACAGCATCGGGGTAAGTCTCAGTGGGCAACCTTGACTAGTGTACATTGTAGGTAATCATACCTGGAAGACAGTGTCAGGGTCAGTGGGCAACCTTGACTAATTGTAGTCATTTAAACCTGCAAGACAGCATCGGGGTGAGTCACTGAGCAAAGACACCCTTGTGCTACGTTTGACCAGGGCTAGCCTCTGCTCCTAGGCTTCGCTCACGTTGTGGTGAGGTGAAAGCCTGTGGCAGATGCTAGACCAGGGCCCATGGACTCTGGTCAAAAGTAGTGCACTATATTGGAATAGGGTGCCATTTCAGACGCAGCCAAGTACACCATGTAGCTAAACTCTCAAATAGCCTCATAAGCGTCCTTTCACTATCAATGAATAATAGATGAATCACTGGAAGGCAGGAAAAGCCCAGCTTAGCGCTATACTGTTAGCTGAGATAATTATTGGATATAGCTGCTTTTTAGTGTGTTGCCATCCTGGTTACTTGCTTTCGGTACTAAATAACATTCTGTTAATTTTAGCTGACACGAGGAGGAGAGAATTAGAAAGATTGTCAATAAAAAAAATCTAATTTTACAACATATGTGAATACAGTACTCTCATCTACTCACAGTTTGACTACGCATATTTTTAAGTACTTGGCATCAAATTTCTGCACATGTACTCATAAATCCTAAGAACCTCTTAGAGGATTTTTTAACTCCAAATGACAGCAGGAGTCTAATATCAGTACCAGTCACAAGTCCTGGTACGTGTTTTTTGTTTCCTCAGACAGGGCTTAATAACTTTGAGTTTAAGGGATGAGTGTTGTTCGCTCTATCTTTCTCTACTATGAGCGAAGGCTTGTCAGACAGGGGGCAGGCGTTGGAGGGATTTGCACCTTGACTCGGGCATATTTCAAAGGGACACCTCCCTCCCGGAGCAAATGAGATGCAACTTCCTGAGCTTCATCATACGCATGCACGTATGGGAACACACACACACAAATGAGATGCAGCTTACTGAGCTTTCTCAGCAGGAAACAGTGCAATTTGTTGGGCTTAACACTCCACCAGACGCACGGTTCATCCGCTCTCTTCAAAGACGCTGTGGATGCTTCTCAGCACTCCACATTTTGCAACAATGCTAAGAAAAGTCAATTTCAGTCTGGGACAGACATCAAATGTTATATTATAAACGCAGGTTTTCGACACCAAAAACTCACTGTAGTATGACACGGAGCTCTTTGTTTAAAAACTTCTAATGCAACCTCAGACCTCAAAGCTCACTTTGCATTTTAAGTCTCAGTTGAAGTGGGTTCCCATTGATTTCCTTTACAATAGGCAGGTGATTGGAGGGGGGAAACAGTCCCCATTACTCTTATGAGAAAGGCTCAGGATGGGTACTGAAGTCCTGTGGTTATTGATTGCTGCTGGCCACACACATTGCTGTATCCGCATCTCTCGGGCCAACTGACGCAAGGTCTACGACTATGCTAGTCAACATGACAGGGAACTGGTTTCTATCTATATATCGTGTAACTGCATCTATCGTGCCAACCTGGCATAAGGTATAGTACAGTGCATTTGGAAAAGTATTCAGACCCCTTGACATTTTCCACATTGTTACGTTACAGCCTTATTCTAAAATTTATGAAATAATTTTTCCCCCCTCATCAATCTACACACAATACCCCATAATGACAAAGCAAAAACAGGTTTTTAGAAATGTTTGCTAATTCATTACAAATAAAAAACGGAACTACCTTATTTACATAAGTATTCAGACCCTTTGCTATTAGACTTGAAATTGAACTCAGGTGCATCCTGTTTCCATTGATCATCCTTGAGATGTTTCTAGAACTTGATTGGAGTACACCTGTGGTAAATTCAATTGATTGGACAAGATTTGGAAAGTCACACACCAGTCTGTATAAGGTCCCACAGTTGACAGTGCATGTCAGAGCAAAAACCAAGCCATGAGGTCGAAGGAATTGTCCGTAGAGCTCTGAGACAGGATTGTGTCGAGGCACAGATCAGGGGAAGGGTACCAAAAAATGTCTGCAGCATTGAAGGTCCCCAAGAACAAGGTGGCCTCCATCATTCTTAAATGGAAGAAGTTTGGAACCACCAAGACTCTTCCTAGAGCTGGCCGCTCAGCCAAACTGAGCAATCGGTGGAGAAGGGCCTGGGTCAGGTAGGTGACCAAGAACCCGAATGGTCACTCTGACAGAGTTCCAAAATTCCTTTGTGAAGATGGGAGAACCTTCCAGAAGGACAACCATCTCTGCGGCATTCCACCAATCAGGCCTTTATTGTAGAGTGGCCAGACGGAAGCCACTCCTCAGTAAAAGGAACATGACAGCCCGCTTGGAGTTGACCAAAAGGCACCTAAAGGACTCTCAGACCATGAGAAACAAGATTCTCTGGTCTGATGAAACCAAGATTGAACTCTTTGGCCTGAATGCCAAGAGTCACCTCTGGAGGAAACCTGGCACCATCCCATCCCAGTAAGGATCGAGGGAAAGATGAACAGAGCAAAGTACAGAGAGATCCTTGATGAAAACCTTCTCCAGAGTGCTCAGGACCTCAGACTGGTGCGAAGGTTCACCTTCCAACAGCACAATGACCCCAAGCACACAGCCAAGACAATGCAGGAGTGGCTTCGGGACAAGTCTCTGAATGTCCTTGAGTGGCCCAGCCAGAGCCCGGACTTGAACTCGATCAAACATCTCTGGAGAGACCTGAAAATAGCTGTGCAGCGACGCTCCCCATCCAACCTGACAGAGCTTGAGAGGATCTGCGGAGAAGAATGGGAGAAACTCCCCAAATACAGGTGTGCCAAGCTTGCAGCGTCATACCCAAGAACACTCGAGGCTGTAATCGCTGCCAAAGGTGCTTCAACAAAGTACTGACTAAAGGGTCTGAATACTTATGCAAATGTAATATTTCTGTTTTTTTTACTTTTAAAATAAATGTGCTAACTATTCTAAAAAACAGTTATGGGGTATTGTGTGTAGATTGACGAGGAAAAAAAACAATTTAATCAATTCTAGAATAAGGCTGTAACGTAACAAAATGTGGAAAAAGTCAAGGGGTCTGAATACTTTCTGAGTACGTTTGGTCTCCCCTAGCCAACATAAAAGCCAGGGCAGTAATTCCCTCTAATCTATCTCACAATAATAGTAAGGACTTTGTGTTAATTAGGTATTTCACCCTTATTTTAGCGTGTGAACCACCAATTAACTGGAGTGTCAACTTCAAAGGAAGGCTGGAATTCCTAGGGGATGACCCCATTGTTTATCCATCTTAATGAGAGACAGGGGCTGTGTCCCAAATGGTACCCTGTTCCATATTTAATGCACTACTTTTGACCAGGGCCCATATACAGCACTGGTCAAAAGTAGTACACTAAATAGGGAATAGGGTGCCATTTGGGACACAGCCAGGGAGCAGGAAGAGAGGAAAAATAATATAACACAATACTGATATGTAATATGTGCATGTCTTATTAGACACATAAGTTAGGATCAGAGAGGTTAACGACACTCATTACTCATAGAGTAGACCTAAGTGTTTGCCAGCAAACATGAGACAGAAAGAGCATCAGTATTACATTTCTTATTCATCTGATCTTATCAGTAACAAACCACTCTTCAGATCCCACATTATCAATGAGACCACATGTTCTTCTCAATATGTGGAGGCAAAGCTATTGGGAGCCTTCATCAGTGTGCGAGTATATATTTTTATTTCAAGAATAAAAACGGGGTTTGCCAAAGCAGTGGAGGCTGGTGGGAGGAGCTATAGGAGAACAGGCTTATTGTAATGGTTGGAATGGAATGAACTGACCTCCTGAGTGGCGCAGTGGCCTAAGGCACTGCATCGCTAGCTGTGCCACTAGAGATCCTGGTTCGAATCCAGGCTCTGTCGTAGCCAGCCGCGACCGGGAGACCCATGGGGCGGCACACAATTGGCCCAGCGTCGTCCAGGGTAGGGGAGGGAATGGCCGGCAGGGCTGTAGCTCAGTTGGTAGAGCAAATGCCAGGGTTGTGGGTTCGATTCCCACGGGTGGCCAGTATGACATTTAAAAAAAAATTATGCACTCACTAACTGTATGTCGCTCTGGAGCGTCTGCTAAATGACTAAAATGAAAATGAATGGAATGGTATCAGACACATCAAACATATGGAAACCATGTTTGACTCCGTTCCATGAAATCCATTCCAGCCATTACAATGAGCATGTCCTCCTATATCTCATCCTACCAGCCTCCTCTGATCCAAATAAGATAAACAATGACATCATACAGTGGTAAATCAGGTAGTGCATATGGTAACTCTTTATTTGGATAGTCCCAAATAGACGGTTTGTAGATGTTCAACTAACTGTCAACAACATTTCAATGAACTATCCATTAACCCTAACCCTCTCTGTATTTTTGTGCCCTCTGTGTGTTTCTCCAGGCGTTCACTGGGAACAGCAATGCAGACAGTGTGGTGCAGTTCAAACTGCAGCAGCCAGTCTTTGCCAGGTTCCTGCGGTTACTTCCTCTGGACTGGAACCCTAACGGGAGGATAGGCCTGAGGCTGGAGGCCTATGGATGCCCTTACAGTAAGTACAACCAGGGGGGTTGGACAGGACATAATTTCCTTATTGCAATGAGATTACTCTAATCTGGTTGTATCAATGTCATTGCAACCAGTTTTGCCCCCTGGGTATTTTTTCCATTATTATACTAGGAAAGCAAGTACTGGAGGTGTACATGTACTAACTGCTTTTTTCTTAAGATGAGCCAACAAACAAGATGCGAAAGCTGAATTTATTTTCTGTTCACTGTTGTCATTTCTGTCTCACACAGACATATACTGTATATTTTTTCTCATACTGTGGCAGTTAGGCCTCTGTTTCTCCCTCAGTCCAACAACCTATCCCTGGATTGTTTTTAATCAGTCCACCATGTAGAGCGATGATTTATGAGTTGTATTACATAAATATATGAATAGTTTTTTTTGTTATTTTTGTAGACAGCACTAGTGGGAGGAAATGTATAATGAGACAAATGAGAGAGGACAGAGTGGATGTGTTTTGATATTTTATATTGCGTTTTTGAATTATTATACATGAGAACAGACGGTTTCACTCTCAAAACAATTAGCATCCAGGGTTTGTTTATACTTATTTATAGCGATCTTTTCTGGCTTTTGGGAATGGAATTACAATCTGGGCGTTTTTGTTTGAAACACTCAGTGAATGCAACCAGTGCTATAGTTGTTCAATGGCCCAATTCAAATAAAAAGTTGTATTTGGTCATTTTTCTGTAATGACCATTTCACCATGTAATCGGTAACCATGTCAAGTAAATGCCAGGGAAGAAGTAGCCTTGTAAAACAGTGTTACCCAAAATTACAATATATTATACACTGAGTATACCAAACATTAGGAACACCTTCCTATTCTTGATACACACTGGAAACTGTTGAGCGGGAAAAACCCATCAGCGTTGCAGTTGTTGACACAAACCGGTGTGCTTGGCACCTACTACCATACCCCGTTCAAATGCACTTAAAAATGTTGTCTTGCACATTCACCCTCTAAATGGCACACATACACAATCCATGTCTCAATTGTCTCAAGGCTTGAAAATCCTTCTTTAACCTCCCTCCACCCCTTCATCTACACCTACTGAAGTGGATTTAACAAGTGACATCAACAAGGGATCAAGTATGTATGGCTGTGATTTGAAGGCCCCAGCCAGAGGCCATACTGAGCCCCCCCCCCCTCAAAATCATGTAATGGGATTTATTTATAGTAAAGACATGTCATTTAACTGTACAAATGTATTACCTTTTAATGTGCCATGAACATAACCAGTTATGATGTTCTCATCTGATTGTCAAACAAATCACATCAGAAAGTAGGTTACCTTCGCACGTTCATCCAAAATAATTCCAGCATACGAACAGTGCACTGTGCACCCGCCAACTTTCCTTCAATTCGCAAGTGGCTGAAAATATGTCACCGTAGAAAGCATCCGAGCAAGCGAAACAGCGCCCCTCTGTCTTACTATTTGTAGCCCATGTATCTGATGCTGTCTGGTCAAAAAGAGTATGACATGCCATAATATTTTTGGCCAGACAGCATCAGATACATGGGCTACGCCAGGGTTCCCCAAACTCGGTCCTCGGGACCCCAAGTGCTTGAAGAATTGTAAAAAGAATAATGTGAAAATATTGTACAATCCAGGTATGCAAAGTTCTTAGAGACTTACCAAGAAAGACTCACGTCTGTAATCACTGTCAAAGGTGATTCTAACATCTATTGACTCAGGGGGTTGAATACTTATCTAATCAAGATATAGAGTTTTATTTTTCATGTATTTTTAACAAATGTATATTTTTTTTAATCCACTTTGACATTATAGCGTATTTTGTGTAGATTGTTGACAAAAAAATGACAATTAAGTCAATTTTAATCCAACTTTGTAACACAACAAAATGTGGAAGGCACTGTACATGTCCTCTGCCTTAGCCTTGACAACGATGTCAGTATTATCAGCAGCACCTGTCTTTTTAATAAATAAATAAATAAATATTGTATACCTCTAAAGTCTAAGGGCCCAGGGCTGGGTCTCTAGTAAGCTAACGTACGGAATTGTTTTAAGATACCAAAGATCATTTAGCTATTGGATTTTAAATGTAGGACCCTGCAAATATATACAGTTGAAGTCGGAAGTTTACATACACTTAGGTTGGAGTCATTAAAACACATTTTTCAACCACTCCACAAATGTCTTGTTAATAAACTATAGTTTTGGCAAGTTGGTTAGGACATCTACTTTGTGCATGACACAAGTAATTTTTCCAACAATTGTTTACAGACAGATTATTTCACTTATAATTCACTGTATCACAATTCCAGTGGGTCAGAAGTTTACATACACTAAGTTGACTGTGTCTTTAAACAGCTTGGAAAATTCCAGAAAAGGATGTCATGGCTTTAGAAGCTTCTGATAGGCTAATTGACATCAATTGAGTCAATTGGAGGTGTACCTGTGGATGTATTTCAAGGCCTACCTTCAAACTCATTGCCTCTTTGCTTGACATCATGGGAAAATCAGCCAAGACCTCAGAAAAAAATTTGGGAGCAATTTCCAAACACCTGAAGGTACCACGTTCATCTGTACAAACAATAGTATGCAAGTATAAACACCATGGGACCACGCAGCCGTCATACCGTTCAGGAAGGAGACGCGTTCTGTCTCCTAGAGATGAACGTACTTTGGTGCTTAAAGTGCAAATCAGAACAACAGCAAAGGACCTTGTGAAGATGCTGGAGGAAACAGGTACAAAAGTATCTATATCCACAGTAAAACGAGTCCTATATTGACATAACCGGAAAGACCGCTCAGCATGGAAGAAGCCACTGCTCCAAAACCGCCATAAAAAAGCCAGACTAAGGTTTGCAACTGCACATGGGGACAAAGATCGTACTGTTTGGAGAAATGTCCTCTGGTCTGATGAAACAAAAATAGAACTGTTTGGCCATAATGACCATCATTGTGTTTGGAGGAAAAGGGGGTGGCTTGCAAGCCGAAGAACACCATCCCAACCGTGAAGCACGGGGGTGGCAGCATCATGCTGTGGGGGTGCTTTGCTGCAGGAGGGACTGGTGTACTTCACAAAATAGATTGCGTCATGAGGAAGGAAAATTATGTGGATATATTGAAGCAACATCTCAAGACATCAGTCAGGAAGTTAAAGCTTGGTCGCAAATGGGTCTTCCAAATGGACAATGACCCCAAGCATACTTCCAAAGTTGTAGCAAAATGGCTTAAGGACAAGAAAGTCAAAGTATTGAGGTGGCCATCACAAAGCCCTGACCTCAATCCTATAGAACATTTGTGGGCAGAACTGAAAAGCGTGTGCGAGCAAGGTGGCCTACAAACCTGACTCAGTTACACCAGCTCTGTCAGGAGGAATGGGCCAAAATTCACCCAAATTATTGTGGGAAGCTTGTGGAAGGCTACCCGAAACGTTTGACCCAAGTTAAACAATTTAAAGGCAATACTACCAAATACAAATTGAGTGTATGTAAACCTCTGACCCACTTGGAATGTGATGAAATAAATCATTCTCTCTACTATTATTCTGACATTTCACATTCTTAAAATAAAGTAGTGATCCTAACTGACCTAAAACAGGGAATATTTACAAGGATTAAATGTCAGGAATTGTGAAAAACTGAGTTTAAATGTATTTGGCTAAGGTGTATGTAAACTTCCGACTTCAACTGTATATACAGTGCATTCTGGAAGTATTCAGACCCCTTTACTTTTTCCACGTTTTGTTATGTTATAGCCTTATACTAAAATTGATTAAATCGATTACCGCATCGAGTCTTCTTGGATATGACGCTACAAGCTTGGCACACCTGTATTTGGGAAGTTTCTCCCATTCTTTTCTGCAGATCCTCTCAAGCTCTGACAGGTTGGATGGGGAGCGTTGCTGCACAGCTATTTCCAGGTCTCTCCATAGATGTTCGATCGGATTCAAGTCCGGGCTCTGGCTGGGCCACTCAAGGAGGTTCAAAGAAGCCACTCCTGAGCACTCTGAAGCTGTTTTTCATCAAGGATCTCTCTGTACTTTGTTCCGTTCATCTTTGCCTCGATCCTGACTAGTCTCCCAGTCCCTGCCGCTTAAAAACATCCCCACAGCATGATGCTGCCACCACCATGCTTCACCGTAGGGATGGTGCCAGATTTCCTCCAGACGTGATGCTTGGCATTCAGGCCAAGGAGTTCAATCTTGATTTCATCAGAGCAGAGAATCTTGTTTCTCATGGTCTGAGAGTCTTTAGGTGCCTTTTGACAAACTCCAAGCGGGCTGTCATGTGCCTTTTACTGAGGAGTGGGGTCCATCTGGCCACTCTACCATATAGGCCTGATTGGTGGAGTGCTGCAGAGATGGTTGTCCTTCTGGAAGGTTCTCCCATCTCCACAGAGGAATTCTAGAGTTCTGTCAGAGTGGCCATCCGGTTCTTGGTCGCCACCCTGACCAAGGCCCTTCTCCCCCGATTGCTTAGATTGGCCGGGTTGGCCAGCTCTAGGTGGTTCCAAACTTCTTCCATTTAAAAAAGATGGAGGCCACTGTGTTCTTGGGGACCTTCAATGCTGCAGACATTTTTTGGTACCCTTATTTTAACTATTTTCTATATTGTAGAATAATAGTGAAGACATCAACATTACGAAATAACACATATGGAATCATGTAATAACCAAAAAAGTGTTAAACAAATCTAAATATATTATATATATGAGATTTTTCTAAATAGCCACCCTTTGCCTTGATGACAGCTTTGCACACTCTTAGCATTCTCTCAACCAGCTTCATGAGGTAGTCACCTGGAATGCATTTCAATTAACAGGTGTGCCTTGTTAAAAGTTAATTTGTGGATTTTCTTTCCTTCTTAATGCGTTTGAGCCAATCAGTTGTGTTGTGATAAGGTAGGGGTGGTATACAGAAGATAGCCCTATTCGGTAAAATACCGAATAACGACAGTCATCATTACTTTAAGACATGAAGGTCAGTCAATCCGGAAAAATTCAAGAACTTAGAACGTTTCTTCAAGTGCAGTCGCAAAAACCATCAAGCGCTATGATGAAACTGGCTCTCATGAGGACCGCCACTGGAAAGGAAGACCCAGAGTGTGTGTATATATATATATTACATACATACACACACACACACACATCTGATGAAACATTGAATTTGGCCTTAATGGTATTAGCCCATAGAAACACATTGAATAACAGATTAAAACATGGAAAAATAGATAGTCAAAGATTAAATCAAAAGGAAGTATGTTTTGAGGTGTCTGTGCTATATCTGAGAGATATAAGAAAGCTCAGAATAAAAAATAGAAAAGTATTTTATTGTGGAATTATACCTTTCACTTTGAAATGCCCTACTCACTTCCATGAATTTTCGGCTCGGTACCGAGTTACCTTCAGCAGAGTCCTGTGACACAAAATGGAGAACACCGTTGTGTTCGTAACAGTCTCATCTTTCCATAGAAGGTCAAATTAGTGTGTAGCCCAAACCGCTCGGATGCTACAGATATTTTGTGAGAAGACTTTTCAGGATGTCTCCTTGTCTGACAAACACCGCTGTAGCTCGGCCACCTTCCATCGCAGATATGGAAGTCCGACATTGGCGTATGCGTTGTATTGAGACGCAGCCCATACAAGAAAACAGATATCTCTAGCTTAAACAGACGAATTTCAATTGGGATTTTATTTTATTTTATTATGCCTCAAACGAAGCATGGGGGGCCTGAAGCAGATACATTATTTTAATAAAAATATATATTAAATAATAAATATGCCCATTGATGATGTGAGGCCTCTTCTGCCTAATGGTATATCCGCCACTGTACATTACCAACAATATAAATAAGATGAAATGTAAGATAAAAGCATGAGATAAAATGTGTCAGTACCCTCACATTAAAGTCTTCTTTAGTCTTTAATCACAGCTCTTCAATCATTGAAGTGGTTTGATGTGTGAGGGACAAAGGCTACCCCGCCTCATTAGAAGCAGTTAAGTATGGAGAAATTAGCTTCTTATCTGAATCTCACTCGACCAGCACACACTGGGGTCTATAATGTATAGCTAATAGCTAATGAAAATACTGAGCACTGAATGACCACCACTTTGAGATTGAATCACCTGCTCATACCTCTACTATTCTCTTTAGTATCCAAGTGGCCAGATGTGGTTAAAATTCAGTTATTCCAGCTGGTTTACAACTAGAGCTGAAAATAATGAATATTCCTTTGTCTTTCTGCTGAATATGAAGGTTGTGATATGCATTTCTACTATACTAGTGCAGAATCTTACTGTAATGTAATGTCTTGTTTGCAGAATCTGATTGTACTACTGCACCCTACTGTAGAATCTTTACTTATGAATGTGTTTTTTGCAGAGTCTGATGTGGCAAATTTTGACGGCAGCGGCTGCTTGCTCTACAGGTTCAGCCCCAACCCAACACCAATTCTAACAGCCAAAGACACTATCTCTCTGAAGTTCAAAACCCTGCAGAACTCTGGGACACTGATACACACAGAGGGACAACACGATCGCAGCCTCACGCTGGAGTTACACAAAGGAAAACTTTTACTCCACCTCAGAAAAGGTACAGTACTAATTACAATAACATCCCATAATCTCCTACAGCGTTTACTCTACTTTTCTGTGATGTATGGTTTTCACAGTTAGGCATGTGTTTGGTGCCGACTCAGCGATTTAGGCGATTAGCCTACTGTAGTAAAAATGATACATTGACTACTTACTACGGCATAGCAGAGCCGGAAAAAAAGTTTTACGTTTGCCAGGCACAAGTGGTGCTAAACTTCAGGCGGGTGCTGTGATGTCAGGGAGCCAGCTTGTCGAAGGCATCGACATATGCTACACCTCTTAGCAGGACCATCTGTCTGTTGCATACTACACCTCCCAGCTAGCCCTCCTCCCAGTCCTCCTCCCAGCCCTGCTCAGCTCAACGCTCCACAAGGGTAGGAGGAGGGCCAGAGAGACACCTCTCTCTATCTCCACAGGGAGGTTAGTGCTTAGTGCAGATCTACTTTACTATAATTTCACAGAGCGTACAAGACACACACACGCACACATGCATGCACACACAGAGCACATGGAGCACACAGATCACATGAACCACACAGAGCACATGGAGCACACAGAGCACATGCATGCAAGCACGCACACTGTAGTGCAGATGTACTGTCAGCACACTAAGCATGTCTAATACTATGTTAGCCTACACAGGATTATTGAAACAGTTAAGAGAAATTAGGGGCATAATAATATACCTACTGCATTATTTAGGGAAGGATACCTTGTTGCTGTATACTGTAGTTGGTTAGGATATCCAATCCCAAAACCAAATAAAGGGTCTTTACCATGATGCTCTGTTATTCATTAGTAGTGGTAGACCTAAAATGAAACTGGACAATCTATGACTGGAATAACATGATTGTCAAAATAGAAGGATGGGGAAAAGAGAAAGCAAGTGACAGACTGGATCTTTGCCAAAAACAGAATAAAGGTAAAAACCAATCATCGTATATCAAACTAGTTGAGAGGATCAAATTGTCTGCTAGACTAAATCAAACAAAAAGGTCTTAGGCTACAGTACCTGTCATCGTGATTTATATTTTTCAAATTCCATTTTACAGTACATGATGACTGAGGCCTAACTGAAGAGGGTTGTGAGTCCAAAATCTATTTGAGTGACAAAGATGTTTGAGTATTTCGTTTTTGGTGGAAGTAGTTACTTATAAACCTGGATAGGCAGCCACCCTTGTCTGAGCATAGTGTGTACATTTCAAAAGTCTGTTTATAGGAGTATTTACCAATTTGTGATGTAACATTTATTTAACCAGGTTTTCCCAGTGAGGTCAAAATACCTCCTCCATACATCTCTTCCAACAATTAGCTTATAGGAACTCCCTCTAGGCAGTTCTAGGTTAGGTTCACTCTCTAGAGCCTAGAGTATAGGTACTGCCATTTCTGTCTATCTTAGAGCCCTGCCACCTGCTCGCCCCGTACACTGAATTCCCTCAACAGCAGTTTCAGTTCCCCTGCAATAGCCGTTTTCGACTCCACAATGTGATTGAATCGAGCTGATTGTCAATGTGCTGACAGTAAACCGCAGTTAAGCTCTGTCATTTTAAAGGAAAGCTCAGAGGGAGAAAATTAAAACCATCCGTCGTTATGACGGACGAGAGATTACATGTTATTCTGCTTATCCTGATATGGACCGGTGCTGACAAAATAAATGCGTCTCCACCTCAATCAAAGTGTTTGTCTGAACGCTCTCCCTCTCTCCGTATTTGACATCACTTCACTGTTTTCCTCTTTCCCTCTTGTTATTTATCAGGCTTTTCGCATTTTTATCCCAATCCTCTCCCCTCTCTCCCTCCCCCTCTTTTTCCAATTTGTTCTCATGCAGTAATTTGCCATTTGCAGTTGTATGCTCTCTGTCCGTCTCTTTCACTCTTTCTCTCCATGCCACCCCATCCCTGACGTGAATGAAATGTTGTGTCTATTGCATCAGTGTGATTCTTCCTCTGTTTGATATCAATGTTGAATAAAATTAGGCATGATCTCTTGAAAGCATCAGACATCCAATCTCCCATTAGTAACTGGAGCATACTGTACCTCTAGTACCCTCAACGCTGATGTATGTCACAATATGACAATAACAATTTAGAGGAGACAGAGATTGTCCTCTCCTCTCTCTACTATTATAACTGGTGTCATTCCCCTGTCAAGAAGCTTTCTCTGCACAGTTTCTGTTATCGTGATGGCTAGCTTGAAGTGAAACGCTGGTCTCCTTGGTGTGTGTCCCAAATGGCACCCTATTCCCTATAGTATACACTGCCCAATGGTCTCTGGTCAAAAGTAGTGCACTATATAGGGAATAGGGTGCCATTTCAGACGTAGCCCTGTTCTTTCTCTTTGAGGTAATCAGTGAGTGCCGTTTGTCAGAGTAGTTTTCACCACAAAGGGCCTTGTCATGGCTGTGTCAGGTAGTGTAAGGGAAGGATGGTAGGCCATTCTTCCTCCATCCACTCCTCAGTGGATTGGGAAAGGAGAGATTTACAGTGCTGTAGGGGCACACTGCACTTTACATCTGTTACTAAACTGGTTCTGGCAGAAACTCCGCATAGAGAACTTGTGAGTTACATTCAAACATACAAACACTTAAACACACTCGAACAAACACATACATACAGTGCCTTTGGAGAGTATTCAGACCCCTTGACTTTTTCCACATTTTGTTACGTTACTTATTCTAAAATGTATTAAATTGTTTTTTCCCCCCTCATCAATATACACACAATACCCCATAATGACAAAGCAAAAACTGGTTTTTAGAATGTTTTGCTAATTTATAAAAATTAAAAAAACGGAAATATCACATTTACATAAGTATTCAGACCCTTTACTCAGTACTTTGTTGAAGCACCTTTGGCAGTGATTACAGCATTGAGTCTTCTTGGGCATGACGCTACAAGCTTGGCACACTTGTATTTGGGGAGTTTCTCCCATTCATCTCTGCAGATCCTCTCAAGCTCTGTCAGGTTGGATGGGGAGCGTCGCTGCATAGCTATTTTCAGTTCTCTCCAGAGATGTTTGATCGAGTTCAAGTCCGGGCTCTGGCTGGGCCACTCAAGGACATTCAGAGACTGAGGTCCTTAGCGCACTGGAGCAGGTTTTCATCAAGGATTTCTCTGTACTTTGCTCCGTTAATCTTTGCCTCGATCCTGACTAGTCTCCCAGTCCCTGCCGCTGAAAAGCATCCCCACAGCATGATGCTGCCACCACCATGCTTCACTGTAGGGATGGTGCCAGTTTCCTCCAGACGTGATGCTTGGCATTCAGACCAAGGAGTTCAATCTTGATTTCATCAGACCAGAGAATCTTGTTTCTCATGGTCTGAGAGTCTTTAGGTGCCTTTTGGAAAATTCCAAGCGGGCTGTCATGTGTCTTTTACTGAGGAGTGGCTTCCGTCTGGCCACTCTACCATAAAGGCCATCGGGTTCTTGGTCACCTCCCTGACCAATGCCCTTCTCCCCCAATTTCTCAGTTTGGCAGGGCGGCCAACTCTAGGAAGAGTCTTGGTGGTTCCAAACTTCTTCCATTTAAGAATGATGGAGGCCACTGTGTTCTTGGGGACCTTCAATGCAGCAGAAATTTTTTGGTACCCTTCCCCAGATCTATACCCGACACAATCCTGTCTCGGAGCTCTACGGACAATTCCTTCGACCTCATGGCTTGGTTTTTGCTCTGACATGCACTGTCAACTGTAGGATCTTACATGGACAGGTGTGTGCCTTTCCAAATCATGTCCAATCAATTGAATTTACCACAGGTGGACTCCAATCAAGTTGTAGAAACATCTCAAGGATGATCAATGGAAACAGGATGCACCTGAGCTCAATTTCGAGCATCATAAGGTATTTCTGTTTTTAATGTTTTATAAATTAGCAAACAATCTGTTTTCACTTTGTCATTATGGGGTATTGTTTGTAGATTGCTGAGGTACATGTTTATTTAATCAATTTTAGAATAAGGTTGTAACGTAACAAAATGTGAAAAAGTCAAGGGGTCTGAAATTCCATAAACCCCTTTGAAAAGGTATATTTCTCTAAACACCTATCGTTGAGGAAAACCACAAAACCACTCTCCCACATACATCATGTCCATACAGACATCCAAACACACAAATACAGTACCCATGTACAGTACAGGCGCACACATACACAGTGTCAACAAAGCTCTGGTCCAAGGCTTTTCATGAGTCAACAGTGTGCAATATGAACCAAGGCTGCAGTGCTCACATTGAAAAACATAGGCAGTTCCACTACCAAGGAACAGACAGTCGCAAGCTGTTTGCAGTAACTTCGCAGCCCGTGTGTGAAAATGAATTAAATAAATGGGCTTGCCAAGATTTATGTCCAGTATCCAAAACCATTCCATTTCCTCTGTATTTTACATTCATCAAAATGTCGGTTTATATTGTTCCCCACTGGCTCATATTTCATCCCAAATCTTAACTGTCAACTGTAATATTTGTTGAATGCAAATATACGAGGGTCATTGTGACCTGCTTCTGGATGTGGGGTGGTAATTGAATCCAACAGAGTTAAGAATATGTCAGCCATGAATATTGTAAGGGTACATACTGTAAATGCATACAGGTATATTGAGGATTGTTTTGTAAACTAAATATAAAAGTGTTTTTCTCTGGCCAATAGGACTGTCAGTCAGTCTGTCTGTTTGTTTGTTTGCTTGTTCCCTGCTATTATGTTCACTTTGCAGAACAAGAGCCAGTTTTCTTATGGTTGGTGTACTAACCAGTATAACGTGATACGTTTTCTCCTGACGATCAATATAATATGTAATCAAGTTCTCCTCTTATAATACAGTCATAATATCACAGTCAGAGTAGGGCTGTTGCGGTGACCGTATTACCGCCACACCAGCAGTCACGTGTCATGACCGCAGTAAAATTCCACATGACCGTTGAGTCACAGTAATCTCACTCTGGACATGCGTTGGTTGTACCCAATTTGCTAACCACCATCAGGTCGCTAATGGCCTGGTACTCAGGGCTCTATTGTCCCTCTAACCACTCTGACATCAATGCAAATGCGATCAAAAACCACATCAAACACTTATCATCGAAACAGCATCATGCTTTTAAACTCACCTCATTGTGATGATCAATTTGAAGAAAGAAGTTCAACAGCAGGTTGAAACTGAGTGAAAAACATGGTTGTTGTGGATGTTGTTTCAAAGCCTATACAACGAAATGGACAGCGCTTTCTAAGATGATGATTAATTCAAAACACCCATATGTATATTAGCGCTTATGCATATGCGCTAATGCATAAAACTGAATTAAAATGTGGATTGTGCCATTATACAATACATAGCCTACCACATAGTATACATGGCAGGTACATAATTGGTCTAGACTATAATCC